GGGGGGTTGTTCCTTTTCTGTTAAATACTTCGAACCAATAATACATTTTTGGGTGAATATAAAATAAGAAGATATTTAGACACAGGAGATGGAAAATATTTTTCAATAGCCTACATTTCCTGTACTTCCATGACAACAGCAAAATTGACACCTGAAACTAAGTTTCTTAAAGGATGCTTATTAGTGACAGACCTAAGATATCATTTGGAAAATATATCTTAAATAACTTCCAATATTCATCTCTATTCTCAGAATACTTTTCTTCTCCCATACCTGGGGTCAGTGTAAATGGAGTTGGAGGAGCCAGGGTTGACATTTTTCCAGGAGGTAGCGATGTTTGTTGAGGCCCAGGACTTGTGACATCATTTGGAGGAGTAACTGGTGTAGTGGCATAGCTACTACATGACAAAACATCAAATCTGAGAGCTATGGAGCCTTGCCAGTCAACAGGATAAATGCGCACAGCAAATGTTGGCACCTCTCGATCAAAGTATCCCTTCACTATTGAATTGCTGTCAAAATTTCCTGAAAAGACCTTAGTGTCTGTGCTCATACTATCCTTATAGGGCTCAAAGGTGACGCCATCTGTCGTTGTTGACACTGTGTATTTGGTCACCCAGTTAGGCATATCAGGTTGTCCTTGTGTTGCAACACCAGTGATGAATTCAGGATTCCTTAAGTCAATAGTTATATAGGGACCTGTATCCGATTGCCTGAGAAAGTACAAAACAAAAGTAGTTAAAGCAATCAGTGTTTTGAGGATGAGGGAGGGTGTTCTGTGGCAATTCTGTTTTGTGATTTTGGTGAGGGGGGTGAGGAGGATACAGCAACAGTTTATGTTCGGGCAGATTATTATTCAAAGTCAGTTTACAAAAGTTTTAGGAATACCAGTATCCACATGCTGGACTATTACCATGCAGAGCCATACTAGGTCACTTTTGTCCAAATCCAATTAAAAGGAAAAAACCCAGATGAGCGACCTACTTGAATCCAAAACATACAGACAGCAACTCAAATATAGCCATACAAATTAATATTTAATGATATCAAATATTTCAAATGTCCTGTAACCATTTCAAGTTAAGTACCATTGTGGGGATATGACCAGGAGGAGAATAAACTGCCTCAAAATGATCAGTAACTTACGTGCGGTGCTTCACATTTCCCATAATTAATTGCTCAATCAAAAAAAAAAAGATTCTCTTTTGTGGCCTCCACTTTACCATAACGCTACAGTTGTGGTAATATTATTAAATTTTTGTTACTGTTTTGCTTCTGTTCTCCTTGACATGCAGTTTGTTCTTGCCACTGTAGTCAAGGTTATTTTTACGATGGTGCTGCTTGACCAGTTTCTGGTCTTTGCTCCAATTGTTTTTATGAAATGTGTTTCATTGCAAAATAATTCCATTAAAAACACTTTTGGCACTGATGATAAAAGGATGATGGGATCATACCCAAAGACTGCGCTCTCAGTTTCAGTTAAAAATACATTGAATCTGTTTGGATATATTTGGGGAAAAATTCTAGCCTCCCACACACATCTCAATGTTCACAGAGGGCTGTTTCCTATTTCTGTAAGATACATCAACTACCCTATTATGAGCCCTCCCCCACAACTACTAAAATGCAGTGACATTGGAGTCCGGCTATACTTTTTTTAATGGTACGGTAAGCAAATCACACTCTTGAGAATGTTCATATTCTTACGAAGAAATTTTACACAGAAAGAGAGACAGAAAAAAGATGTGGACAGAAGGAAAAATGAAAGTATTGTCAAATTAACAGATCGGACCCATGGACGGACAGTTATTTAGATATAAACATTACACACCTGTGTTTTATATTTACATAAGCAGAGGGCTGGATGGACGGAAGAATTAACTGACAGGTGCCTGGATAGTCTAATTGAGAAAGTGATAAAATGGAAGAAGAATGGATAGATAAGTAAACAAGATAATAGATACTACCAAATTGGTAGAGTATAATTAAGTTTAGTTTGACTGTGATTCGAGTTATACCCGACTTTCTACGTGCACTTAAATTCAGTTTAGCTGTGATTCAAATTATTCCCATTGCACTGATGTATGGATAATGATAACTAAAATGTTTCATTTTCTATAGTACAACAATTAACAGCTCCAGACTATTAGCTTTTAAATGCCTTTGGCAAGGCAAATTATCATTATTTATTTTTCAACAGGTACTTACTGCTTACAGCTTTTGATGGTGACTATTGAGAAAGGTATCAATTTTACCTCTTGACATGTGAACAACAGTCATAGCTTCAGTCATCAATTTCTTTTATACAAAGATTGCATAAAGAAACCGAATTTCAAAAACTCAGAATTGTGCCTTATACTTATACACATCTATGAGTAACATTTAGTTAAAGTTAAAGAAAACTGAGAACAGAAATCCTCCCAGGAGAACCTTCCTTTCTCTCTAGTCATGTGGGCTGGAAAACCTTCCTTTCTCCCTAGTCAAGTGGACTGGAAAACCTTCCTTTCTCCCTAGTCAAGTGGACTGGAAACCCTTCCTTTCTCCCTAGTCAAGTGGGCTTATAGAGCTGTTTAGTTCAAACATACTTCTGTTCTCTGAAACTTGAAGGTCAAAGCAGCCCGCCTCCTAAATAATCTGAATAATGTCAATGGAGGTGTAAAACACCTACACCTGCATTTGTATTTTTTTTACTGTCACTACAGTTTCCTATGATGAATAACCAGAATCACTTAATAAATTAAGTTACCCCACATGATGTCATTCATTCTCTTCCTTTCCTGAAGCATCTGAAAGTTGGTAAGTACCATAGTATACTGGACACAAGAATTAGAAAATTGCACACATGTAGATTCAATACATGAGCATGCACATATGCACACACACACACACACACACACACACACACACACACACACACACACACACACAC